GGATCTGATCGCAGTGTGGGGCGATGAGTCCGTGCTTTCAGAGCTGCGATTGAAAAAACGGAATGCGAAGATCTACAAGAAGATCTCCAAAGCCATAACGGAGAGAGGATACAGGCGGGATGCAACGCAGTGCCGCGTGTAAATCAAGGACCTGAGACAAGGCTACCAGAAGACCAAAGCGGCAAACGGACGCTCCGGATCCCAGCCCCAGACATGCCGTTTCTACGAGGCACTGCATTCCATTTTAGGTGTGGCCGCCACCACTACCCCACCACTGACCATGGACTCTGACGATGGGGTATTGTCGACAGCCGCTTCCTCAGAGATGTTCGCGGACAGGGAAGATGAGGAAGGAGATGAGGAGGACGAGGCAGTCGACAGCACTTACAACGCTGATTTCCCCGACAGCCAGGATCTCTTCATCACCCTCACAGAGATCCCCTACCAATGCTCCCAAGGCGTTAACCGTGACCCTGAATCAGGGGAATGATCAGTCGGTAAGTGTTTTAAACATGTAAACATTTATTTTGAACAGAGCAGGAATGGATTTTTCATGATTACTTTGCCCTAGGCACTTAACTTTTTAGTCCTTGTCAGTGCAGCTACTGGAAAATTGTGTCAATATGTCCGAGGTTAGAGCTGAAATCCTCCTGGGACATCTCCACGAAGCTCTCCTGGAGGTAATTTGAAAGCCTTTGCATCAGGTTCCTGGGGAAAGTGGCCTTATTGCGTCCTCCATGGTAGGAAACTTTTCCGCGCCAGGCTAGCAGCAAGTACTCTGGGATCAGTGCCTCGCACAGCATGACCACATACGGCCCTGGTTTTTGCTGGCATTCACTCAGCATGCGGTCTTTCTCAGTGTCCAAAATCCTCATCATAGTGATATCACTCATGGTGACCTGCTTTAAATTAGGGGAATGTTAGTATTTGGACTGATTGCGTGTTCCTTTACATAACTGTAACCGGTGGTTTACAGCCACGCGGTGGAGGCGGGACAGGGGCAGCATACAGGGATCTTTCCCGGGGACAGCCACGAGGGGGGTGGGATAGGGGCAGAGTTCATGCTGGCCGGACTGCCAGCAGCAGGAACTGACCAACGCTAGGGGCATTGCTTTGAATGTGAAAGTAGGGCACTGCTATAAATTAAGCTTTCAGCAGCCAAAAGTCTACGGCTTACCATGTCCGCTTGCTACCCGAATTCCGCTGTCCTGCCCTGCTTGTGTGATCTGTACTCCAAGACCCCAGGCACTGAATGGGAAGGCTGAAAATTCGACCTTGTCCTGAGTGCGCATGTGATAGGTGATGTGCATGGTCTTGTTCACAGAGAAAGACTATGTTCATTGTTCACAAAAATGTATCTTTGTGAGGAATTCACTCCCTTTTTCCCATCCCACAGCTGTGAGTGTCTCCCGACCTACCCAGGCATCCCCCTCCCAGAGGCTAGCGCAGATTAGGCGCCGAAAGAGAAGGACACGGGATGAGATGTTCTCTGAACTTATGGGCTGCTCCCGAGCCGAGGCGGCACAGCAGACCCAGTGGAGGGAGAACATGTCACAATACCAGCAATCACACAGCGAACGGGAGGACAGGTGGCGGCAGGAAGACCAGCAGGCAACTCAGACGCTGCTTGGACTAATGAGGGAGCAAACGGACACGCTCTGGCACCTTGTAGATGTTCTGCAGGACCAGAGGCAGGAGGACAGAGCCCCGCTGCAGTCTATCTCTAACCGCCCTCCCCCGCCACAAAGTCCCATCCCCCCCTCACCCAAAGTCCCAAGAAGGAGGGGCGGCAGGGGCCGTGAAAACAGTCACTCCACCCCTGCAGACTGCTCAAGTACCAGACGGCTCTCATTCCCAAAGTTTTGATAAGTCCTTTCCTTCACTCCAAAAGCACCTCACCCAAGCCCCCGTCCCAGTGTCATCCCCTACCTGTGCAGTTGTTAATAAAAAATATGTTTCTTTTAATTACAGTTTCCGTCAGGTTCTTTTAGAGGAGAGTGTGTTTGAAGGGGGGAAAGGGGGTTGGGAATTGGAGAGGACAGTCACCTTTACCAGGGTACAGACACGGGGGCAGGTTCAACAGCCGGTCACACACACATTGCTGTCACTAGGCACCCTGATCAGTCTGGGAGGTGGTTTTCATGTTCTGTGTGTGGGGGCTATGTGAGTTTGTGGCAGGGGAGGGCAGTTACAGATCTTATGCAGCGGTCCTTAGCCTGGATGACAGAGCCACGCAGCAGGGGATCTGTAACCGTTCTACCCCGCCACAAAGTCACATAGCCCCCACACACAGAGTCCCGAAAAGGAGGGGTGGCAGGCTCCGTTGAAACAACCAGTCCACCACTGTGGACCGCTCTAGGAGCAGGAGCCTGTCATTCCTCGAGTTTAGAAGCATCCTTTCCATCACTACACCCACTCCCCACCACAGTCTGCGTCCAAGTTTCAACCCTTTATCATGAAACCCTTAATAAAGAAAACAGTGTTAATGAACAAAGTTCATTTATTTTATTTTTAAAGGTGTGTTGGAAGGGGGGCAACGGGGTGAAGGGGGTATGTAACTGGAGAGGATAGTCAACATTAAGTGGGTAAAGAAATGGGGGCAGGTTCAGCTTCTCTTTAAACAAACTTAATAGTCACAGGTTACCCTGCTCACTGTGGAACCTAGCTTTCAAAGCCTCCCGGATGCACAGCGCATCCTGCTGAGCTCTTCTAATCGCCCGGCTGTCTGGCTGGGCGTAATCAGCAGCCAGGCGATGTAACTCAACCTCCCACCCTGCCATAAACGTCTCCCCCTTGCTCTCACAGAGATTGTGGAGCACACAGCAAGCTGCAATAACAATGGGGATATTGGTTTCGCTGAGATCAGAGCGAGTCAGTAAGCTTCTCCATCTCCCCTTGAGACATCCAAAAGCACACTCCACCACCATTCTGCACTTGCTCAGCCGGTAGTTGAAGAGTTCCTTTTCACTGTCCAGGGCGCCTGTATAGGGCTTCATGAGCCAGGGCATTAGCGGGTAGGCTGGGTCCCCGAGGATCACTATAGGCATCTCCGCATCCCCAAGAGTTATTTTCTGGTCCGGGAAGTAAATACCTTCCTGCAGCCGTCTAAACAGACCAGAGTTCCTGAAAACACGAGCGTCATGAACCTTGCCCGGCCATCTGACAATGATGTTGATAAAACGTCCCCTGTGGTCCACCAGTGCTTGCAGCACCATTGAAAAGTAGCCCTTGCTGTTAATGTACTGGCTGGCCTGGTGCTCCGGTCCCAGGATAGGGATGTGAGTTCCATCTATAGCCCCACTGCAGTTTGGGAATCCCATCGCGGCGAAGCCATCTACGATGACCTGCACGTTTCCCAGGGTCACTACCTTTGAGAGCAGTAGCTCAATGATTGCGTTGGCTACTTGCATCACAGCAACCCCCACGGTAGATTTGCCCACGCCAAAGTGATTCGCAACTGACCTTTAGCTGTCTGGCATTGCAAGCTTCCAGAGGGCTATGGCCACTCGCTTCTGGACAGTCAGGGCTGCTCGCATCCGGGTGTCCTTGAGCTTCAGGGCAGGGTACAGCAACTCACAAAGTTCAAGGAAAGTTCCCTTACGCATGTGAAAGTTTCACAGACACTGTGATTCATCCCAGACCTGCAGCACTATGCGCTCCCACCAGTCCGTGCTTGTTTCCCGGGCCCAGAATTGCCGTTCCACAGCATCAACATGACCCATTGCCACCATGATATCCACGGCATGGAGTGCCGTGCTTTGCGAGAGGTCTGTGCCACTCTCAGACTTAATGTCCTCACCGCGCTGCCGTAGCCTCCTCGCCCGATTTCTCAGCATCTGCCTCTGAAAAAGGTGGATGATAATGTGCGAGGTGTTGACAATGGCCATAACTGCAGCGATGGTCGCAGCAGGCTCCATGCTCGCAGTGCTGTGGCGTCCGCACTGTCATTCACCAGAAAAGTGCACAAACTGATTGCCCGCTGGCGCTTTCAGGGAGGGAGGGCGGGAGTGACGGTTGAATGACGACAGTTACCCAAAACCACCCTCGACACATTTTTTTCCCAAGCAGGCATTGGGGGCTCGACCCAGAATTCCAATGGGCAGCGGGGACTGCGGGAACTGTGGGGTAGCTGCCCACAGTGCACCGCTTCCAATGTCGACGCTTGCTCCATTAGTGTGGACTCACAAAGTCGAATTACTGTTCTTAGTGTGGATACACACGTTCGACTTTGTAATATTGGTTCCACTAATTCGATTTAAGTAAAATCGAACGACTCTCATAGTGTAGACATACCCTGGGGCAGCATCATAGACTGGGCTGGAGGATGCTCGAAAGATGTGGGTACTCGTATGGCAGCAGCTGCTGCTGTGTTTTGGGCCTTTCAGTGGCTTCTGTGGGGACATCAGGACATTCAGCTTCCTACATAGCTGCAGATCTACAGAACTGTGGTGACACCAACTCTACCATATGACCGTGAAACATGGGCTCTGAGGAAGGCTGAAGAGTGATGGAGGGATTTTTTTTTATTCTTGTCATCTTCGTCCGGCCACTGGACCGGGACTATTCCCAGCTCTGCTACTGGCCTGCTGGATGACCATGGGCAAGTCACGTTACCGCTCTGTGCCTCAGTTTCCCCTCTGTAAAATGGGGATAATGATGTCAAGTTCTTGGAGAGCTGCTGATGAAAAGCACAATATAAAAGCTAGGTCATTTGATTATTACCAAGTCACAGTAGCTCATCAACTGCGAACCTATGTGAGAATGACAGCTGTCTAACTGGCCAGTAACTCCCACTAACAAACATTGCTCCTTCTGTTTAAAAAACCAGGAAATAAAATGTAAAAAAAATAAATTGTTAATGCCGAGTTTAGGTGCCCGGTGATATCTTGGGCCCTTCCCAAAGGCTGAATTCAGCAAAACTCTGACTTTTGAGAACCAGGAAATACACAGAGGAGATAAATGTCCACACAACCTTAACTCTGCCCTATTTGTGCGATACTCTAAAATACCCACACCACACATTCCCACTCTGCCTTGTTACGGCAGTGGACTGGTGCTCCCTGCCCTGGCCCTATGTTCAAACACTGATTCTACTCCTCCAACAGAATACCACACTTGTAAAGTATAACGGCCACTTCACACCCTTTTCCAGCCCCTGAGTTGCTGAAGACAGAGGAGAGTATTGTCACACTGTGGCAGCTCAGGCTTTTCAAGACCACCTGGATCACTCATGCCATCCCCGATGATGGGGGAAGAAGGGCTGACAGGCTGTCTGGAGTGGCTGAAGAGCACGGGTACCAACATCAGGGCAGACTGTTTAGAAGCAGGGCACAACCCCCACATTGGCTGTGAGTTCTAGACTTAGATTTCACCAACCAAATATCAAGTGGGAACTCCTCAAGCATGACAACCACCTTAATATGGAGTCACAGATGGTCCCCTTGGGCACTCCAGTCTGTCTTGCCACCCAAGTAAACCTGCCTTTGCGATAAATGGTCCCTTACACCAAAAATCACAATAATATTCAGGGAGCTGACCCCTGACAGGCACAGACTTGCCTTTCCCATGGTAAGGGGAGGTGTCAGTGCGTGCTGCACAATCCCAGGCACCGCAAGAAACATCACAGGGACATACAATAAAATTAAAAAATGGCAAATTCTAAACCAATAAATACCTTTTTCCATCATGTGTGATTAGACTGTAGTCATCAAAGCGGGACTGGACATTTGTATGGCTAACAAGAATAACCAGAGTTTTCATAAGCAATGATGATAATCCGTATTACTATAAGCAACAGGTTGTTTTTCTCTAGGAATCAGACAGACACAAACACTCAGACTATACTGCTGCAAAAACAAGACGACCCTGAGTAGATGCTGAGGGCATTAGGGTTCAAACCTCCCCAAACACAATGTGTATCTCCATGCCGGGTAGAGACTGCGTATTGTTACCCCTTTTTGACCCGAGTGGCTAGTCACAGTTTGGAGCCGTGGGGATGTCCCAGTTGGAAGTAGAAATTGATTGAGTCTGATATTTTCTTTGATCCAATCTCGTTTATTGACAAGGAATGTACAAAGTCCGACTTCTCTGAGTGCATGAGGAACCAAGAACAAAAGGAGCAGCTTCTTTGCTTACCTCCCCTAGTCTCGTTAGTCACCTCGTTCGACCCAAACGCTCGCTTTTTCCAGGCTCGCATTGGGCTACTGCTTGGCTTCCTTGATTTTTTTCCCTCAGGCTCCCTCTCTCTCTGTCCTGTGCATTCTCTCTTCTCTCTCACACACACCCATGGTCAGCAAAACCCTTCTGCCCACTCAGTCAAATTCCTGGGCAGGTTCACACACCTCTTTGTCTTAGGTGGGGGAGGGAGCTTCTGATTAACTCATCCTGACAGTTATGTGAATAGAAGGGGTGTTCATATATCAGTTAGAATAAGTTTTCTAACTCAACCATAACAAGGTTTCATCCAGCTCATAACAACATTCCTCACCTCAGGGGAGGCTCAGGTTAGTCACTAGGGTGACCAAACAGCAAATCTGAAAAATCGGGACGGGGGTGGGGGTTAATAGGAGCCAATATAAGAAAAAGACCCAAAAATCGGGACTGTCCCTATAAAATCGAGCCATCTGGTCACCCTACTAGTCACCCAGGCTTGGCCCCACCCTAGAACGTCTGCACTGCTATTTTTAGCACACTAGCACAAGCCCTGCTAGCACGAGTCTGCCTACCCAGGCTGGGAGGCTCACCTTCAGCTGCCGTGTAGACGACCCTCGGTGGCTCAACTACTCTCCTGCCTTCAATTACTTCCTGTGTATTCATTTGAATCAGAGGCCTACGGATTAAAGTACTGTTCAATGGGTAGAATTTTCAAAAGCACCAAAGTGACTTCAAAGCCTGCGTTCCCCTTTCAGAAGGACCTAAGGACAGGGGTATCTGTGTCTCATTGAAAGTCAATGAGATTTATGATTCTAAGTCAGCTAGACACTTTTGGAAATTTTACCCAATGTGCTTCAGGATGAAAGATGCTGGCACTTTTCAAATATGCCAGGAGTACCATTTCCTCCACACCTACCTGCTGCTTTTTTATTTGACCTTGATTTTGTTGTTGCTGTTGTAGCAAAGAGGTTGTGTCAACAGAAATCACTCGCATCATTTATTTTATTTTGATAACCACTAATCTGTTTTGGGTCTGACACACTGGGTCTTAGGGAATGTCTACACTGCAATGTAAGCCCAAACTCAGACTCAGGCTTGAGGATTTCAATCTGACAAACGCACATTCAACCACCATTCTACACCTGCGGGGAATATAATTAAACCTTCTTTTGCCAGGGCCTCATGTGATCAGGATACTGTTTCATAAGCCCAGGCAAAAGGGGGTACATGGGATCCCCTAGAATAACCATGGGAACAGTGATTCCATTTATGACATTGTCATTTGTAATAGTGTTCCAGCATGTGCATGAAGGTAGACGCCTGACTGACAGAAAACCCTGGTATCATGAACTTTTCCAGGGCAGCCCATGTTGGCGTCCATAACTTGGCCTCTGTGGTCCCCAAGGGCCTGCATACCCATGGAGTAGAACCTTTTGCAGTGTATGTACTCCAGCTCCTTGAATACATACAATCATGGCCCCAGTGCAGTGGAGAAACCTCATTTTCTCCAAGCCAGCACTTACTTTGGGGATATTGTTTATGCCCCCACCTTTGGATAAACCACACACCTGACTGCCTCAGAAACCTCAGCCACCACTTTACCTTCCAGTCGACTTTCCAACCCCAAACTGGTTAGCAATGGACCTGTAGGACTCTGGGGTATAGCAACCTACTATTGAACAGGAATGGCTTCCCTCGCATATGTGTTGTGGTGCTGAAGGGTCCGGGCAAGCTGCTAACAAGGCTCCAGAAATGTAGCTTTCTTCATGAGCAAGTTCTGGTCATCCCAGGTCTGCATGACAATGGGGTCCCACCAGTCTGTTCTTGTGGCCCTGCTCCAGAAGCACCGGTCTATACAGGGGGCATCAGCGGCTCTCCCGAGAGCCATGAGCAGCATCAGCCAGTTTGATTCTGCCAGATCTGTATCACCCTCATCCTCCTTCAACAGGTGCCATCTTCTGCAGGTCAGAAAATGCCCCCAAAACATCCACCAGCACCTCATGCAAGCTCCACCCATTGCCTGAAGCAGGAGTGAAAGTACAAGCAAGACAAGTTCTTCAAACACTGACTGTGACGGGTTGGATCACAGAAACCACCCTGGGAGCTGCGACCTCATTGCCCAGACTACTTCTACCCCTGCTTTCCCTGACAGCTCAGGACTCCAGCATCTGTCTTGCTGAGCCAGGCATTCCAGTCTGCTCCAACAAAGACCCAGGATCTGAATTACTTGCCCTAAAGCTGCAGGTTTACCTGAAAGCAGGTAACAGAAGTGTGCTTGTCTTTAAAACCCAGATGCCCAACTCCCAATGGGGTCTAAACCCAAATAAATATTTTACCCTGTATAAAGCTTATGCAGGGTAAACTCATACATTGTTCGCCCTCTATAACACTGACAGAGAGATACGCACAGTTGTTTGCTCCCCCAGGTATTAATACGTACTCTGAGTTAATTAATAAATAAAAAGTGATTTTATTAAATACAGAAAGTAGAATTTAAGTGGTTTCAAGTAGTAACAGACAGAACAAAGTAAGTCACCAAGCAAAATAAAATAAAACGCGCAAATCTATGTCTGATCAAACTGAATACAGATATGATCCTCACCAGTTCCAGAATGCTCCATTTTACAGACTAATCTCCCTTTAGCCTGGGTCCAGCAATCACTCATGACCCTTGCAGTCACTGTCCTTTGTTCCAGTTTCTTTCAAGTATCCTGTGGGGAGAAGCTCTCTCTTTAGCCAGCTGAAGACCTAGCACAGCCTGGTTTGACTTAGGTCTGCGTAGTGCAGCGTAGATGCCTGAGCACTGGTGTGAGGCCCGGGTCCAGAAATTCTAAACCAAGACTTAATATTCACTGTGGACACTCAAGCCTAGGTTTACACTCAGTGAGCCTACGGGTTCAAGTCCCACAGACCCTAGGCTTACATTGCATTATAGGTACACCCTTACACTCCTTCTACCCATTGCAAGATGACACACAGTACAATCTTCCCAGATATAAAGTTATGGAGCTTTTGGGAATCCAGGACGTCAAGGAGAGAGAAAATATTTGAACCAGCTAATTCCACCCAAAGGGATCTGAGGCCAGTGCCAAGTAGAATGTGGCATTTTCCCAAATCAGAGAGAACAGAGAAATAAATGAAACATATCTGAAATCTCAAATGTCACCATGTGGAGTGTAGAGCGCAAGACAGTCAGGTTTCCAATTAAGGCAGTAGCAAGTATTAGCTTTATCCATGAATGGGAATATCATCAACCCAAAACGTAGTATGTTCTCACATTTCCCAAAGCAGTTCCCATTGGCATGAGATAGGGCCCTACTAGGTGTAAACTTTCTTGCTCATTAAGCCAGATAGATTCCTTCACAGATCAGTGACTTCATCTGAATTCATTTGAGCAACATCTATTAACTGATGACTTTTCTCAGGGCCTCCTTCACCTCTTTGTTCCTCAGGCTGTAGATGACGGGGTTGAGCATGGGAGTCAGGACTGTGTAGAAGACAGAGAATACTTTGTTCAGGGCTTTCAGTGTATTGGTTTTTGGTAGCAGATACACAGTCATTAGGGTCCCATAGAAAACTGTAACCACAATGAGGTGAGAGGAGCAGGTGGAAAAGGCCTTTTGCCTCCCAGTGGTGGAAGGGATTCTCAGGATAGTAGCAATGATACAAACGTAGGATGTCATAGTTAATAGAAATGGGCAAGGCGTGTTTATGGAGGCGAGTATGAAACTAACCAGTGTGATCATGCTGGTGTCACTGCAGGAGAGTTTTAGCATTGGAGAAAAATCACAAAAGAAATGGTCAATTTCATTGGTGCCACAGAATGTTAATTGCAACATAAAGCACATCGTTATTACACATGTTAGAAATCCGCTTATCCACGACCCTGCTGCTAGCTGGAGGCACAACCTGCCGTTCATCAGGGCTGTATAATGCAGGGGTTTGCATATCGCTAAATACCGATCATAAGACATCGCTGCTAGGAGATAGCATTCTGTAGTTACCAAACAACCAAAGCAATAAAACTGTGCAAAACAGCCACTGACAGAAATGGTTCTGTCTCCAGTCAGGAGACTGGCCAGCATCCTTGGCAGGATGGTCAAGGTGTAGCAAGTCTCCAAGCAGGACAAGTTCCCCAGAAAGTAGTACATGGGGGTGTGAAGGTGCTGATCAGCCACAACTAGCGCTATGATGAGGATGTTCCCGGACATGGTCACAATGTAGATCACTAGGAAAACCAGGAAGAGAAGGATCTGCAGTTCAGGGAGATTCCCGAATCCCAGGAGGATGAATTCTGTGATAACCGTTCGATTGTCCTCTTCTGCTTTCTCTATGAGGTGCATCTAGGTACAAATAAAAATACTAAAACTCAGAGACGGGATTTTCAAAGGCACAAACATTCCATCAGCTTAATCAAGTGCAGAAGAGCAGGTATCCAGAGGCATTTAGGCACCAAAGTTGCAGATAGGCGCCTAGTGGGATTTTCAAAAGTACTTAGGCAACCAAGGTGCCTTAAGGCCAGATTTTTAAAGCTATTTAGGAGCTGTGGGACTCAGCATCGCAATGCCCAAGCCTAAATCTTTTTTTCCCAGATTTAGGCACCGAGGAGTCTACATTCTATTGCCAGCCAATGGGATTTAGATTCCTCCACGTCTAAATCCCTTTTGAAAATGGAATTTGGGCTCCTCAATCAGTTAGGCATTGTTGCAACACTGAGCTCAGCAACCCCTAAATAGCTTTAAAAATCTGGGCCTGAGGGCTTTGCTGAATCAGGACTTTAATTTAAGCTATGCAGAGCCACAAAGGATGTGCTGTTCTTCAAAGGCTGCTAGCCAGTGGGAAGTTTTAGCCCACTGTAAAAATGGTCAACAGAGCTAAGAGAGAGTAAAGGAATGGCTTTAACAATAACAATCTCACAGCCTTTCTTCACATGAATGAATCTATGAGGTCTAATTCTGATCTCCCAAACTGTTTTTTGCAATATTAACTTCTACCAGAGATCCTCCCATTTTACAGCTGCCCAGGTGAGGTCAAAACCAGGAGCTGTAAATTCTGAGTAGACAGACAGACAGACAGACAGAGCTTTTGTAGTTCAATTGTTTTCCTAGTAGCACACCGCATGGTCTAAGGTCCTTAATCAGCCTTCACTCAGTGAAAATTCCCATATACCCAGAACAATGGAAGTGTGTTGGTTACAGATCGAGCAAAATCATAGTATATGAACACCTCACAATCCTTAATGTATTTATCATCACAATGCCACAGTGAGATTGGAAAAGGTTTCTGTGCCCATTGTACAGATGGAGAACTGAGGCCCAGAGGGCCAGATAAGGTACTTAGTGCCTAAAAATGCAGATCAGTGCCCAGTGGGAATTTACAAAGTCCTTGATCAGGCTCAGAGCCTAACTCCCATTGAAGCCAAAGGGAGTTAGATGCTTAACCTGCTTAGATACTTTTCAGCATTCCACTTGGTGCCCATCTACATCATTTGGTGCCTCAACACCTTTAAAAATCTGGCCCTAAGTAATTCCCCTGAAGGCCCCGAGAGAGCCTGCTGGAGAGCAGAGGATTGACCCCACGTGTCCAACATCCCAGGTTAGCCCCCTACCCAAATCTATCCAGAGCTATAGCTCGCCACATTATTCAGTTTCCTGAATTACTCAATGATCTCTTATGACAGTGAGTTCCAGGAGACAAATACACATTGTGTAAAAAGAAAATTGTTTCATGTCTGAGTGCTAAAGGTGTTGTCTGTTAAGTTGATTGGGTCACTCTTGATATGTAGTTCACCTGATGGAGTTTCTCTGTCCCATTCATTAATCCTTAACCTCTCGCATGTCCCACTTTGTTCATCTCCTCTTTAAATTAAACTCCCTGAATCTTTTCTGAGGCTGGGATATTCAAAGGGACCTAAAGAAATTAGACACTTGAAAAATCAAGGGGATTTGGTCACCTGACTCCCTTGATATTCCCACCCCATTAAACTCTGCCCATCTATGCATCTGTTTCTCTTCTCACCCTCTGCCCCGTTCCCAGCCCCATGCAATAAATGGGAAAGAAGAGACGCTCTCTTCCCCAGCTCTGAGACAGCAGGTGCAGCTCAGGAGCCTGCATGTCAGCGCCAGCAGAGCAGGGTGTGAGCACGCTCTCCTCATGCTAATGCCTGAGACACTGAGAGCACGACACTGACTAGCAGCACAGCTGGGAAACTCCCTCTGCTCAGTGTTCTGCCCCGTGCACAAAGGGAATGCCCCGAGCAGGCACATACAGACCCCTCTCCCTTTCCTCCCCTCCTTGGCACCCTGAGACACACTCTACCCCAGCTGCACTCTGCAGCCCAGCTGAAGAGTGAGAGTGTCTGGGCCTGGATTTTGTGCAGCATCCCGGGTGCAACAAAACAGCTGGAACTCAATGCTCCCAGCCACGCTCTGCAGTGTCGCAGTTCAGCCCTGTTAGGGGAAGGGATGAGACATATCAAGGGCAGAGTAGGAAGTGAGAGGGAGCAGGATATGCACAGCCACTGTGTGCACCTGAGAGACAGCTCCAGCTGTGCTCCTTCCCACTACCGCACCGTTTCCTCCCTCCATGAGATCCCCAGGATCTGACTAAGGGCTTGTCTAAACGGAGAGTTAGATCACGGCAAGCTGGGGTGTGAATCTACAGCACGCTAGCCTGCCACGTACTAACGCTCTGTGTGGACCCTGTTCCAGTGCACTAAACATTCCCTAGTGCACATTGACCTACGCCCATTTCAAACAGCACTAGGGCAAAATCCACTAGGGGACCTTTAGTGCTTGATAGCAGGGTCCACATGGCCCCTTACTGCACAGCAACCTGCAGCACTGTAGATTTCCACCCCAGCTTGCCATGCACTGACTCCCTGTGTGGACAAACCCCAGGAAGATTCAGATTTACCTTTAATCCTCAGCAAGAAGCGGCGACCTCTGTGTCGATGCTGAGTGGGTGTGGGGATCTGGTTTCCACTTCCATGCTGCTCCCCTCCGTGTCTCGTGGTCTCAGAGCTTGTGTACCGGGTGGGGTAGTGCTAGGGTTACCATATTTGAACATTGAAAAAAGAGGACACTCCATGGGGCCCCGGCCCCGCCCCAACTCCGCCCCTTCCCCTCCCCCGGTCCCACCCCTTTCCCCACCCCCGGCCCCGCCCAACTCCGCCCCTTCCCTTCCCCCGGTCCCACCCCTTTCCCCACCCCCGGCCCCGCC